TTTGAAAATGCTACTCATTAGCATACTGAAAAATTTACAAATAAAATATGAGATTTGCTTCAAAATAATGAGGGGGAAGTGAGTAGGAATACAGATAACACTGAATGTGCATTGGTAATTACTGAAGCTAATTACTGGTACATAGTTCATTCTACTGTACCACTGTTGACTTTTTTTTATGCCGCTTGATTCACTAAACTGATTTCACTACCACATCAAGCTAGAGTAAAATTTTGTACATTTTTATTTTTATTTTTTTAGGTGAGGCAGCCCTTGGTTGACCTCACAGATTGCAAGGACCTTGTCAGCTTACAATCCTTTATTTTTTTATTTTTTAAGCCTACAGCACCTGGTCTTCCTAGGTGGTCTCCCATCCAAGTACTAACTAGGCCCGACCTTGCTTAGCTTCTGAGATCAGAAGGGATTGGGCTTGTTCAGGGTTGTACATTTTAAAAGGATTTCATACTCTACAATCAGATTAGGGGTATCTCTATTTCCTTCAAGTGGCATTTTCTCAAGATTTGTTTAAAGGGAAAAAACCAGCTTGCATGTTCAAGTCATTACTGATTAAATACCAGTCAGAAATTAAGGTTATGAAGGGAAAGCCTTCTAAGGGGTTAGTTTTTAACCTGAGTGTGATGGGAATCAGTGGCATGTTTTACTGTATGAGCGACAGGGGCAGATTTCGATTCTAGATGAATCTGACTACAGCATGGAGGATGGTTTGGAAACAAATAAAAACAGAAATTGGGGGCAAGGAGATTAGGAAGCTTTGCAACAGCCTAAAAGAGACATGATGAAGACCTGAACTGGGGCAGTGGCGCTGGGAACGAAGAAGACCAATTTGAGATATTTAACATATTTTAAAAAATTGTTAAGACATGCTGATGGTTTGGAGGAGGATGAGTTAGGAAGAAGGCCTGGCATGTATATACTTGGTAAATAATATGATCAATGAAAGGGTGAAATCAGAGCCTAGCAGCTAAGATGCTTCACCGAGAACTCAGAAATTGGGGAATAGTCTGCCTTAGAAGGAGTTAAACTATATTGAGTCCACACACGATGGATGAAAGCAAAGATATGCAAAGGCACCCCAAAAACACATTACACCTATTCAGCCAGCCAAACCAGACTGTCACCTGATTAAACTTATTAATCTAAGAAACATGTTCATCAGAGGGACTGAGGCAGTCCTGGCTGCAGAGAGCAAGGAACCCCAGAGGCATCCAGGCACTGGCAAGGGAGGTATCTTGTTCAACCAACTGTGGGCATTCCAAGCCCTGTGGCAACTTTTACTGGAAACTGGCATTCTGGCCTCTACATCAGTCCCAGTGAACTTGCTTAATGAGAGCTGTTTTATTGATAAAAATCAGGTTTCTAAACCTAAAAGTTAGACGTTGGATCAGGTTGAATTCACTAAAGTAATGAATGCCACTTTTAAATGAGGCCTCATGGGAGACTGCCTTTCCCAGTCACCAGAGCTCTGACCTCAAATGGTGTGTGTGGCTTGTGAGAGCTGTGCTTTCTTTTGACAGTTACCATCTATGCTTTGACTAATGCTAGGAGAATACTGTGTCCTGAAAACACCTCCTCTGGGAAGCCTTCCCCAATCCTCGCAGCTAGAACTATATTCTCTTTCCCCTGATGTCCCAGCACTCCTATCATAATCCTCAGTATGCAATGTTATGAAGTTAACTGTAAGTAGATGTCTATCTCCCCTACTATACCACTGACAGCAAGGCCTTCATACTAGTCTTCTCTTGTTCTAGGCCCAGCACAGTAACCAGAACACAATATACCTTACTAAAGGTGAATGGGAATAATAATGATTTTTCTCACTGTGCATTTCAAAAACTCAGACAGTATAGACGAGGGGTCCCCAAGCCCCAGGCCACAGACTGGTACCAGTTCCTGGGCTGCACAGCAGGTGAGCGGTGGCCAGCAAGCAAAGCTTCATCTGTATCTGCAGCCTCTCCCCTGCACTAGCATCACCACCTCAGCTCCACCTCACATCATCAGGAACTCGATTCTCATAGGAGCATGGGTCCCTGGTGCCAAAAAGGTTGGGGACCACTGGACATAGATTTTTCTCAGAGTAAGAGGTGCACTATAGTGGTACACAAGTATTTTAACATAATTTTTTTTTTTCCACCGGAGCAGAGTGATTGAGCATGAATTCCAGAGCAAGGCTGCCTGGGTTTGAATCCTAGCTCTGGCACTTTTTAGCTCTGTGATCTTGGACAAGTTATTTACCCTTTTTGTACCTCAGCTTTCACACCTGTAAACTAATGATAACAACATCTAACTTAAAAGATTGTTATAGAGATTAAAATGAATCAATATAAAAGTCCTTCAAATAGTACTAGTACATAGTAAGTGCTATCTACTAGCTTGCAATTATTATTTTTTAAAACTCTCTATCAACAAGAAAAATTAGAGGTGCTTTACACTATGAAGCAGAATCCACAGGTCAATTATAGAATGACGAGGTGCTACCCCATTGCAAACTAGATGAGTGGATTTAATAAAACTCACAGGGGAACAAAGAGACTTGGAAGTTAGCCTCTCAAAATGAGATCTCGCAAAGTGAGATCCCTGGGCTAGCAATTTTAGCATCATCTGGGAATCTGTTAGAAATTCAAATTCTTCAGTCCCACTCTATACCTACTGAAATCAAAAACTCAGGGGATGGAGCCTACAATCTACTTTTCCAAGCTCTCCAGGTGATCCTGATACTCGCTAAAGTTTGCAAACCACTCCTTTCTCCTCACTACCTACATCTATCTAATAAGATTCTAAAGCTTGTCGGTTCTTCTAAGTTGGTCCCCTTTGCTCAGGCCTCAGCCACAGCCACATTTTAGGTCCTTAATATCTCACCTGAATGACTCCAATAGGCTTTATCTACTCTCCCTGCCTTACCTGGTTCTTCCTAAAACAACCCTCCAAATTACTACCAATGAGATCTTCCTTACACACAAATACTTTTTTGGCCAAAAAGCTCAACTCTAGTCACATTGAACTATTTCAATACTTACTGCCCGCTAGCACACTACACACTGTCTTTATACATAACCACAGCCTCTGCCAAGAATGCCTTGTCCTCTCATCCGTGACCAAACTCTTTAAAACCTACCCTGTGCCTATGTTTCTATGTATTCTTTCCAGACCTTTGCCGGCACTAATAAATTATTTTTGCTAGCTTTGTGATTTTAAAACTTGTATTTCTTTAATAAAAAGGTTGGTCATCTCTCCTATATACTTATCACTTATGATAATATTAATAAATAATAGTTGAGTGTTTTCATGGGTCAGAAACTATTCTAAATCCTGGTAAGGATTAGATAGGAGAATGAATGGGAAAATTTTTTATAAGATGCTATGTGTTATGGAGTGGGTCTATTTCATTAATCGTCGAGAGCAGAGATTACAGATTATTCTATTTACTATATTTCTCCTTTGGCTTCTCAACTTTAATAGGAATACAGAGTAGGGGTTAAAACTCAGGAACCAGTCTCCTGGGTTGATATTCCTGTCTGCCACTTACTAGCTGCAAAACTGTGGCCCACTTAGGGCACCTCTTCTATAAAATGGAGACAATAGTATCTATATATTACAGGGTTACAGTTGTTATGAGGATTAAATGAACTAATATATGCAAAGTGCTATAGCTCCAGCCTGAATCCATTAATATATGTTGCTTGTTGTTAATTATAATGTACTGTAAGTAAAAATTTTTTT